TGTATGACATAGCCTCGGCAACCCCTGTGCACATGTGCTAGGCTGCTTTTAAAAGCTGGACTCTCTCTCTCTGTGACCCGCCCCCCCCCCGCCCCCATACTCCTGTACGCATCTCCTCTAATACACTCCTATGAGGGTTTGTTGCATCTTCTGTGCTTCCTTCTTTCGCGCCAGGTAATTTCATCTGGAACCACAGGGAAATACATTTGCATTGTTTTCAGCTCTTTCACAAATAATTTTTTAGATTTACTTTACGTGTTTTAATGTTTTGCTTGAATATGTATGCGTACCATGTGAGTGTCTGGTGCCCCCCAGAGTTCGGAAGAGGGAGTCAGATCCCCTGGAACTGGAGTTACAGATGGTTTTAAGTCACCCTGAGGGTGCTGAGATCCAAACCTGAGACCTCTGTAAGAGCAACAAGTGCCCTTAACCAAGGGGCCAGCTTTCCAGCCCTGCTCAGGTCTTTACAGCTGTACCAGGGAACTAGTGAATTCATGTTTGGTTCCCGAAACCCTTTTCAAATTGGCAGTGTCTCTGGTTCATCTTGTACATGTTCTACCCCATACCTGGAGTCAACAATTTTTCCTAGAAAATCTGCTTCCTTTTAGAAGAAAATGGTATTTTGAGAGCTTGATGGGGACATTCAGGTTGTTTGCCTGTCTGCCTTTATTTCTTTTGTCTCTCACTTGTCTTTTGCTTGTTTGCTTATTTATTTGTTTGTTTGTTTATTAATGTCTTTGTGAGGGTTTCTATTGCTGTGAAGAGACGCCAAGACTTGGCAACTCTTAGAAAGGAAACATTTAATTGGGACTGGCTTACAGTTTCAGAGGTTTAATCCATCATTGCCATGGTGGTACATAGGCAGACAAGGTACTGGGGAGGTAGCTGAGAGTTCTACATCATATCAGCAGGCAGCAGGAAGAGACTGTGACCCACTAGACCTGGCTTGAGCTTTGAAACCTCAAAGCTCACCCCAGTGACACACTTCCTTCTGCAAGTTTACACCTACTCCAATAAGGCTGCACCTCCAATAATGCCACTTCCTATGAGTCAACGGGGAGTCATCTTCATTCAGACCACCACAATTTATTTATTTTATTTTATTATTATTAATATTATTATTTTTGGAGTTTTTGAGACAGGGTTTCTCTGTGTAACTTCTCTGGCCTCCTGGAACTCACTTTATAGACCAGGGTGGCCTCAAACTCATGAAGAGTCACCTGCCTCTGCCACCTAAGTGCTGGGATTAAAGTGGGGTTAAAGGCATGTGTCACCACTGCCAAGCCCACAACTCTTTTTCTTTCTTTCTTTCTTTCTTTCTTTCTTTCTTTCTTTCTTTCTTTCTTTCTTTCCTTCCTTCCTTCCTTCCTTCCTTCCTTCCTTCCTTCCTTCCTTCCTTCCTTTACTTACTTATAATAGGGCTTGACCCTATGTGTATGGTTGTTTTGTGTGCATGTATGTCTGTGTACTTTGTGTGTGTCTGGTGTCCATGGAGTTCAAAAGAGGGCATTGAATACCCTGCTCTGGATCTGGAGTTACAGATGGTTGTAAGCCTCTATGTAGTTGCTGAGAATTGAGCCCTGGCCAATGCTCTTTATAGATGAGCCATGTCTCAGATAAAGCACCAATTATCTATCTATCTATCTATCTATCTATCTATCTATCTATCCATCTATCTTTGCTTTTCAAGACAGGGTTTCTCTGTGTAACCTTGGTTGTCTTGCAACTTGCTCTGTAGACCAGGATGACCTCAGTCTTGCAGAAATCTGCCTACTTCTGCCCCACGAGTACTGGAATTAAAGGCATACACTACCACTGCCTAGTAAATTTTCTAAGCATTATATGTATATGTGTTTCTGTGTGTGTATATTTGCACACGTGAGTGTAGTTCCCACAGTGATCAGAAGAGGACATTTTAGACTCCCTTAGAGCTAAAGTTACAAGCTATTGTGAACTGCCAGATAAGGGAACTGTGGTGGTTTGAAAGAAAATGACCCCCCCTCCCCCAAAGGGAGTGGCACCACTAGGAGATGTGGCATTTTGGAGTAAGTGTGGCCTTGTTGGTTCAAGTGTATCACTGTTGGGGTAGGCTTTGAGGTCTCCTATGCTCAAGCTATGCTCAGTGAAACAGTATACTTCCTGATGCCTATGGATCGAGATGTAGAATTCTCAGCTCCTTCCCCAGCACCATGTCTGCTTGCACGCTGCCATGTTATGTCATGAGGATAATGGACTAACCCTCTGAAACTGTAAACCAGCTGAATTAAATGTTTTTCTTTACAAGAGTTCCTGTGGTCATGGTGTCTCTTCACAGCAGTAGAAACCCTAACTAAGGAAGCAAACCTGGGTCTTCGGAAGAACAGCAAGTACTCCTACTTCCTGAGCCATCTCTGCAGCTTCTGCATTGTAGAAGACTGACTATTTCACACGTGCATGTGGCAGCACACATGCAGAGGTCAGAGGACAACCTCTCCTTCCACCCTGTGTGTTCTAGAACTTGAACTCAAGTTACCAGGTTAGGTAGCATGTACCTTTGCCTGTTGAGCCATCTTGCTGGACCTTTTGCACTTGTCTTTTATTTTTTTATTGAGAGAGGGTCTTCTAAGTTGGCCGGGCTGTTCTTGAATTCACTCTGTAGTTTTTAAAGTATAAGAAAGGTGAATATGTGTCAAACTCAAGCACTCAAGAGGTAGAGGCAGGTAAATCTCTGCGTTCCAAGCCAACCTGGTCTACATAGTGAGTTCTAGGCCAGGCATAGCTATATAGTGAGAGAGAGAGAGAGAGAGAGAGAGAGAGAGAGAGAGAGAGAGAGAGAGAGAGGACTGAGTGAGTAAAGCTGCTTGTTGCCAAGCCTGATGACTTGACTAGAACACCTTCAACTCATGTGGTAGAAGAGAACCAGCTCCCACAAGTAGCTGTCCGACCTCCACACATGAGTGAGGGCCCCACCCCCAATTATTAAAAATAATAGAAAGGTGCAGTTCTAGGTGTAAATCTTTTTATCAAAATATTTTCTTTAAGAACAAAATATTTTCTTTTTTTTATTGAGAAAAGGAAAAAAAAAGTTTCCGCCTCCTCGCAGCCTCCCATTTCCTTCCCCCTCCCCCCACTACTCTCCCCCTCCCTCTCCAGTCCCAAAATATTTTCTTATGTGTAGAGCGAGGCAGGCAAGCATAAGGAATATTCTAGTAACCTGGGGCTCTATTTGGATTAGGTTATGTATTACCTCCCCTTCTAACAACACAGGTGGCAGCCTAGCTCCTTTACCTGTGTGTACTGTGCAACCCCCCCCCCCCAACAATGCACCCAGCAACCTTGGATCGACCTGCGTGTGGCTACACATACCCTTCTCTGAATAATGGGATACGTATGTCCTCCCCTAACAGCCATCAGACTTAGACAATTTCTATTGACATATACTCCCAGTGTATACAGTACAAAGAATGGAAAATCCTATTTGGCCTGAACTGGATTTGGGCACATGCTCACTAAGGTAAACTGTGTCCTGTACCTCCTAAAAGTGAACATTTAGGAGGAATCTCCTATTTACCATCTTACGCTAATGCATATTTGGATATATATATATATATATATATATATATATATATATATATATATTCAAAATCAGCTGCATTATGGGAAGGGGAATATGTAGTAGGAAAATTATTTTATGACATAATCTATCAATCAAAATACAGAACCATCAACACTATGGTCGTTAGCGCAAGCTCCTCCTTCCTTTAGCCCCATAAAGGGGTCCCAGGCTATAGCTTGGTATGGCCTCACACAGATCATTGCTGTCTTGCATTATATTCTGATTTTTAAATACTTATTTTTATTTTACGTGCATTTTGTATATATTGATTTTTTCCTGCATGCATGTCTGTGTGAGGGTATCAGATCTTGGAGTTACAGACAGTTGTGAGCTGCCATGTGAGAATTGTTGCCATGTGTTGGGAATTGAACCCAGGTAGTTCTGGAAGAGCAGCCCGTGCTCTTAACCAGTGAGTCATCTCTCCAGTCCCATTCTGATCTTTTCTATTGCTTTGCTTGAAATAAAGTTTCCTTCTACTTTCACAGATCTGTGTGGGCTGTTCAGTGTTACCAGCAGACAAGGATCCAGGCCACAGTTCCAAGCCCTTTTGGCTGCTAATCCTACACTGAGATCCTGCAAAGGATGAAGTAGCAATGCGGCTGAAGGAAGAGGCATTTGTCTAAAACAGAGTCCTGACGTGAAATAGATGCCAGAACAAAGCAATGGCATTTCATCATTGGGAATCAAACTTTTGCCTCAAAATGTCACTCAGTGGAAGAGCACTCGTTAGCATGCACAGCAAATCCAAACCCAGTCCACTCCACTTCAACACCCCTGCCTCAAGGACAGCTTCCTTTTGTGTGTGCTCTAGAGACTGGTGAGGTCTCAGCTGGGAATTGCAGGGAATTGCAGCGGACATGACCATGTGGGGGTATCATCTAGCCTGTCTGTTTTGTGGCTGAACCTGATTGTCGTTGGGTCAAAATGGTTTTCAAGAGACCAATTGGCTCAGGCCAGGAGGAATCACTGTATGAACTTGCATAGAGAAAAATGTGTACACAGAAAAGTAGTGTATCTTCTCTTGGATTGAAGAGGACTTCATTTCTAGAGATAGAGTCTCACTAGGTAGCCCTAGCTGTTCTGGAACTCACTCGGTAGATAGGCTGGCCTCGAACTGACAGAAACCCACCTGCCTCTGCTTCCCAAGTGCTGGGTTTAAAGGTGTGCACCACTATGCCCAGCTGAGTTGATTTTAGACAGGGTCTCCAGTAGGGCATTTGGTCTCGCCAAAAACTCGCTGTGTGTTGAAGTGCTAATTACTTTGATTTACATTAAGTGTTCAGAAACAGTGTATTCTAGATCGGTCTTTCTCACTTGCCTTGCAGCAGGAAGTGCTCAGAGAGTAAAAACAAGTATACAAACAGTCACACAAGCGTAAAAAGAGGAAACAGTTGGATGGGAACTTTGAAATCACATGACTGGTGACTAAGTCGAATCTTTCCTCCTTACTGTCGAATCCGCTGATCTTCCTGGCGTGTGTAAAGTGTTGGAGATATCACATCATGTTGCCATTTATTCTCTTTTCTACGCTGCTTCCTCCCACGTTTGCCAAATCTGAGCAACAGTGGTTCTGCAACTCCTCCGACACGACTATTTCCTACACCTACTGCGGTAAGAGATCGGCAGCAACTAACTGCAGCTCCAGCTGTTTTCAGAGAAAGCCTCTGCGATTCCAGCTGTGAGGGCGCCTGAGGTCTGGGGTGGGGATGGGGTGGGGGTGGAGCGATCGACCACTTCCGGGTGTGGGTTTCTCCCGCGTCCCGTCCTCCTTACTGATTTGAACCGTGCGTTTTTAGCTCTTGTGTTTCTGTCGTTGCTGAGCTCTCAGTTCCAGTGGAATTGTTTGTTTCAGAGTCCCAGACCCGACAAACTGGTTCCTCCTAAGGAGGCAGAATGGGAGCTGCTCCCCAGTGGGGGTTTCTGCTCCAGTCGGTGGTCCTAGAGGGCTCGTCGAGCATCTTTGTTCTTGGGTTATTACCTTGATCTCTCTCTTTCACCAATTGTATGATCTTCATCAATTTTTAGGCATTCTCTGCCTCATTTGTTTTTAGTTGCAAAGTGAAAGTGATTTTAGAGTTCACTTTATGAGGCTTGCTAGAGTTAAGAATTTTACCAAAGAGTCACTTATAAAAAGTAAGATTGATTTTTGGATTTATGCGGTTATTATTATTACTCTATAATTCGTTTTGAGACAGGGTCTCACTATGTAGCCGTGGTGGTTGGCCTGGAGCTGGGCTGGCTTAGAAATCACAGATATCTGTTTGCCCTTACTTCCTGGGATTAAAGGTGTGAGTCACCACACCCCGCATATTTTACTATTATTTTTTAGACAGGATATTAGTATATAGCCCTGGGCTAGTCTGGAACTTGCTATAGAGACCAAACTGGCCTGGAACTCAAAGAGATCCCCCTTCCTCTGCCTCTCGAGTTATTTGCTTATTTTTGCCTGGAACTCACTATACACTCTATGCTGGCCTCGAACGCAAGCTCCTTGTTTCCCCAACCTCCCCAGGGCTGGAACTGCAAATATTTTTCAGTTGAGCTAAACTCTGATGCTACTGGTGGTTTCTAATTAATGCCCTTGTCACCGTACAGCTAGCAGACGCCTGGTTTGTGAAGACCTAGCACAGGGACTTGGTAGTTGTTTCAGTCGGTTTTCTCTTTTGTTGATCACTCCGTTGGTTGTCCATTTTTGCCGCCTCTCGAAATATCTGGATGGTTGGGAGGTGATGCCTTCTGAAATGCCAGTTCTTAGAAAAGCAAGATCTGCAGCTTGATGTTCGGAAGTGCTGCAGGGACTTCAGAGACATCCCTTGAGAACTGCAGTACTGAGGGCTGCACAGTCACAGCGTTTCCTGGGGGACTGGCTTGTGAAGCTCGCTGACTGTGGTTAATAGCTGTTCACTTCTGGGCCGTTAGGAAAGTCCCCAGTCTGCTAACCTCTGTTTTCCTCTCCTTTTTGGCCCCCTCCTCTGTCAATTTATTTATCTTTGTGTGTGTGTATGTTCTGGGTATATATGTGAACCATGTGCATGCTGGTGCCCCCAGAAGTCAGAAGAGGACATTAGATTCCCTGGAACTGGAGTTAACAGGCTACTTGAGCGGACTAATGTGGGTGGATCCTAGGCTGGAGCTCAACCTCTGAGCCACCTGTGCAGTTCTAAATCTACCTCTTTGGTACTGCATAGTGACTCGCCATATGCCTATTAGTGATGTATAATACATATTATTATTCATTTGTACTCTTTTAGTGACAATTTGGACCCCTTTGTCTTTGTGGTTTGTCTTTTGATATAGAGTCTCTCTATGTAGCTCTGGCTGTTCTGGAACTTGGTCTGTGACTAGGCTGGTTTCAAACTAAGAGACCTGCCTGACTCTGCTTCCTGAATTCTGGGACTAAAGGCATGGGATACCACACCGGACACATACCTGGCTTCCTCTGTCTTCTGGTGAGACTTTCTGAGGTAGAACCTGCCCCTTTGCTCTGTAACACCGACAAGTCCTAAACCTTCCCTGGAGCCCCCTGACACAGGCTAGAAAGAAAACAAGGGTCTCTATGCTACAGGCTGCCGCTGTACTAGAACGTTATCGCTCCTGTGCCTGGGAGAGTCCACTAAGACAGAATACCTCCCTTTGGAGAGGGTTAATCCCTCTAGAATCGGCAGGGGAGTGCTAGTTATGGTGACTCCTGATTCAGTCCTTACTGTGAGGATCATTTCCTAGAAAGAGAAGAGATGCATCTTTCCTGGGCAGGGTTAGTGATTTTGACTTGCCGGAACAAATCACTATGGAGTCGGGCATGGTGCTGCAGGCCTTTAATCCCAACTATAGTTTGGGGGGGCTTAAATAAGAAACATTTATTATGGACTGATCTGGAATTCGAAAATCAAGATTTTGGTACATTTGGATTTTCCTTGGCTTGCTGAAGGGATGCTATGGTTTTGGATGCATATGCTCTGACAAACTCACGTCAAATCTATTTGTTGCTGTAATAATATTAGGAAGTGGTTTTTGAAGCAGGATTTCATTGTAACTCAAGATGACCTTGAACTCACTCTGTAGTGCAGGCTAGCCCAGATTAGCCTTAAAATTCACGGAGATTCTCCCATCTCAGGCTCTGGAGTGCTAAGATTAAAGCTTATCCCGCCAAGCCTGGCTTTTATAGTAACTTTCTAAGGTCCACGAAAAATCCCACTTAGCCTGGGCATGGTGTTTCATGCTTCTAATTCTAGCATTCATGAGGTCAAGGCAGGAAGATTGTTGCAATTTTGAGGCCTGGCCTACATAGTGAGTCCTAGAATAGCCCATGCTAGGGAGTAAGATCCTGTCTCACAAACCAAAGATGAATAAACAGTTTGTCCCAAAGATGCTGGCGGACTCACTTGAATTATTTATTTACTTCTCATAGATTTATTTATTTAGTAGTGCTGGGCCTGAACTGTGCATGGCTAGGCATGCATTTTGACATTGATCTTTGTCCCTCTGCTGACACCCACCAATTCTAGCAACATCTTTTACCCCAAGAAGATAGACTGTGTTGTTCCACCCCATCTATTGCGCACCATGACGAAGGAGAGGGACAACCGTTATGGGTTCCAGAGATTCTAATAAATCACCACACACACAAATCAGGGCTGCAGGACAAGGACTTCGGAGCCTTGTTTCTTCTGGCAGCTCTGAGTAGGGGCAAAAGTGGGGTTTAAAAGTACAAAAAAAATCATAAACAATTATTGCCAAATTACAGTTATAATTTTCACCAATCGGAAGCCAAAGATTAGGAACTTTCCTTGTGTGTTCCATCATTATCAATGGACACAAAATGGGAGTGTTTTAGTCCAACCAATCAGATTCATTTGTTTTATTTCTGTGTTAGGAACAGCCATAAGAGGAACTAAGGGGGATAATAGACTGTTTATATGGCTTAGCAAGGATGTTTTTCCGCCATTAGAAAGTTCTCAGCTTCCCTATGGCTTAGGAGCTTGAACTGTTTCCCACCCTACAGATAGAATGGAGTGTGAAGTCAAAATGGCAGCACTCAGGCCAAGGTGCTTTTGCCTGCTCCCTTCACTGTCACCCACACTCTTTCGGGATTAGTGAGACGGGCGTTAATTAGAAGACTAGATCAATTCTTCCTCTCATCATGGAAAAGCGGAGAACCGGCAGTTTCGGTCTTCGCACATGCGGAGCAGAAGTTGTGTCTGTCGGCTCCGATGGTGTGACCAGACTGTGCGGACTATCAGAGCTCCAAGACGCACAGCCTGGAAGTCAGTGCTTTGGGGAGCTGGACTGGAAGAGTTAGGGTACTGAGCATGCAGGTGAGACTGGGGTTGGAGAGGCTTCCTAATTGTATGGTGGTGCTGGGGTCAGGGACTCTCAAGAGAGCATGTCCCGAATCTTCGTAGAGACACTACTGAGTACAGTTTGGGTGTCTGCATGTGCTGGAGACTTCATTATTTTCTGGGTTTTTACACATGGAGTTTCTACTTGAGGGAAAACCTGGGTCCTCTTCTTCAACTGTACTACAACTGTCAGTGTTCTAGAGAGAGAGATTTCCAATGACCTTCAATTGTTCTCATTATAATTTTGAACACAAAAATCATCCTTTGGGGACTGATATTCAGAATGCCATATTCACTGGAAGTTATTTACAATCATGTTAAAGTTTTCCTTCTTCTTTTTAGATAACATGAAATCTTACCCTGTTTTGATTACTTCTGAACCCTGTATAACATTGAAGGGAACCAGCGGATTTGTATATGTTAACTTCATTCCAAGTAAGTACAACTACGAACTTTCATTTTTGTTAATTAGCTGAAGGGCTGTAGAAATTCAACCAGAATGACACTGTTCCAAGCACATCTGTGTTTGTTATCTACTGCTGTACTGTAAGTTACCACACTCTTAGTCTAGTGACTTCTACACAGTACTTACCTACTGTCTTTGTGTGACGGTGTCTGAGCATGGCTTACCCTTGTTGTCCGGGGGCCCCCATAACCTATAATCAAAATGTTGACCACGTTTGGGGTCGACTATGGAAGGAACTCCTTCTAAGCTCGTGTGGCTGTTGGTAGCAGTTTCTGGATTCTGTCTGTTGGCTACATGGACTTTATTATCGGAGCTGCTTGATTCATCAAAACTGGCAAAAGATAACAAGATGGAAGAGCATTAAATAGCTTGATCAAGGAAGTGATAATCTGTCATTTTTGCTGTATTTTAGACCAACTCACAGGCATATGGAGGGTTTTACAAGGACATAGGTTAGAAATGGGAACTTCAACCTTCTAATAATGTATGGCCCTTGTCAACCATTCAGTTGTGAGAGACACTGAGTTTCAGTTGGAAAAATCTGTGATTTTCCTCCCCTGAGACTTGCTTTATCTGTATAAACCTTACTGTCCTGAAACTCCATCTGTAGATTAGGCTGGCCTTGAACTCACAGAGACGTGCCTGCCTCTGCCTCCCAAGTGCTGGGATAAAAGGCGTGCAAGTCTGGCTCTCAGGAAATATAATTTTGGTCTTTAGCACTATGGTCTTCATTCTCGGCATAGACTTGGAGCACATTTTATACTTTTCAGAGTGCTACGATATGAAGAACAAGCTTTTATAAAAGACACATTTTTCATTATTTTACTTAGGTACATGTATATATATTTATCTGTGTGTTTACCATATGTGTGGGTGCCCATGGAGGCCAGAGCAGAGTGTTAGATTCCATGGAACTGGAGTTAGAGATGGGTGTGTAAATGCTAGGAACTGAATTTCAGTCTTTTAGAAGAGCACTCTTAGCCACTGATTAGCCACCTCCCTAATACCAATACTTTTTTGTTGTTGTTATTTTTCTCTTTCCTTCTGCTTTTGAGACAAGGTGTCACCATGTAGCCCAGGCTGGTCTAAAAATTACGACACAGCACAAATTGGCCTAGGACTTGTGGCAACCTTCATTTCTCTCCCTCCCCAGTGCTGGGATTATATGTCTGTCCACTATGTCCAGTATCATGTAGATAAGCTTAAAGAAACATTCCCTCTTCCTCAGATCGTAGTTCATAAGGAAAAAGGCTGGTTGAGAAAGAAACTGGGCGTGGTGGTATCTGCTTTTAATCCCAGCACTTGGACAGAGGCGGAGTCGGAGTCGAAGAAGGAATTAAAAATTTAGATGATTTGGGGGTAGTGTTGAGGGATACATGCTTGTGAGAGCAGACTAGAGAAGGTGTGCAGGGATTGAGCCTGGAGTGCAGATCTGAGACCTTTGAAAAGCAAGAGGCCAGCATATGCTAAGCCCTTGGAGTCATATGGGACAGGAGTAGGAGGATTGCTTGAGTTCATGAGTTTGGTGAGGTCATGTTTCAAACTCAAAAAGGATCATAAAAACAGCTTACAGAAGCAGGGAGGGGGGAAGTAAGGGGGAGGGAGGGGAGCAGGCGGGAGCACGCATCTAGATACTGCCGGCTATGGAGCCTTGTTTGCTTTACATTAGATGTTAGTCCCAATTTAAAAGGATTTTTTGTGAAAGGCCGCCCAAGGGCATTTGCATAATCGGCTTGGAATCGCAAGGACCCATTAGAAACCCAAGCCAATTGTGGGACTCAAGCCTGTGGCAATACGTCCACCGTACAGTGCTCTTGAGTCAAAACGGGGGTGCATGAGAAACGAGTGAGCTGGACATCTCCAAACACACCGAAGTCTCATCTCGGTGAGGCATGGCTTACTGCGTGAATTGGACTTCCAGCACAGCCGCGACTTTATCGGAAAGTCCGAAAATCGACAAAAATAGACGTGAATCTCCCCCCCCCCCCCATCCTACCGGCCATGTACTCCAAAATGGGAACTCACTGAGTCGAAGCTGATGTTAGCCTGGCAGAGAGCACAAGAGAAGGGCGTTTTCCAGCACGTGGCGCTGAGCCCGTGGGAAAAACAGGCCCCGCTGTGGAAACCTCCATCTATTAGGAATAATCTTAAAACGTGCCTCTCTCTGCCTATGCAAATAATTCCAGTCAGACCAAATTAGACCAAATGAATGCCCACGTTTACTGCCGCACTCCCAGGTAGTTGGGAGCATGGCGAGGGAAAAGCGTGTGTGTGTGTGTGTGTGTGTGTGTGTGTGTGTGTGTGTATGGGGGGGGGGGGAGACGAGAGGCTTCCAATCCAAATACCCAAGAGTCCTTGGATATAGGGGTGTCAGGGAAGCTTTTGATCAAACAATAGTTATAACCCTGAGTCAAAATTGAGTGGGAACGGAGATGATATCTTTGGTACTTCTCAGGCTTGCTAGCGGGTGTCTGTGTAACAGAAAAACCTATGAACACACCCGTGCAGTCGGTCAGTCCCTTCAGTGTTATTTCTGGCAATTCCTGGAGATGTCCTGGGCAAACTCAAAAATGTTTACCTTGTTCTGTCATGATGATCGCTCAGTTCCTCATCCCCATCCCCTACTCCACCACACCCCGCCCCCAACACTCACATTGCTGCCCTTGGCCAGCTAAGCCCCAGAAGTGTTATGTCATTGCAGCCATGGCTCATAACTGTGACTGTAGTCATGCCCACGACCACTGAGCTGTCAAAGCAGGACTTCCTGGAGACTGGAAGCAGCTGGGCCTCTTGAGCCTAGAAAGAGGCTCTTTGTTTTGCATTGACATCACCCAGGATTGCAGTGCTGTCTGCCACGTGTGCACCACAGAGCCCGGTCTGTGTCTCTCGAATTCCTTGTGGGATCCTCTTTTCAACCCCCCCCCCCCACACGCTCTGGAGTTTAGAGGGTCCATGGAGCCCATTCCCTTTGGTAGGATGCTTTGCTCAGACTTGATACAGGGGGCAGGGCCTTGGTCCTCAACTTAATGTGCCAAGCTTTGTTGACTCCCCATGGAAGGCCTTACCCTTTAGGAGAAGCAGATGGGGGGGGGGGGTTAGGAAGGAGGTGTTGGGGGAGGGGTGGAAGGGAGAACTGTGGTTGAAATATAAAATGAATAAAAAAAGATTTTTAACTGGTCCTATAATAATTTTTCCACACCTAACCCAGGAAGTAACGATGTGGAGAAAATGTAGGCCATTTGGTGGTCTTCAGGCTTGGAGTACTATTTGCCTCTGCTGACCCTAGGGCAGTGGGAATAAAAAGGGGGTGAGTAAGATTAGTGGGACGGGATTCTATTGCCAGTGAAGTAGAGTACAGTAGAAAAGATTAATTATTAGATGCAGATTTACTGGTTTATTTAGTGTTTTGTTTAAAGCACTGCTTGTCCTGCCTACTCGCCAAGCACAGCGCCACCTGCTGCCTGAGACAGGACGACCTGGAGAAAAGGCGGAAACCATTGGTTGCGCCCTTCACACCCTCTGACTGCACATATGCCTTTTGCTTGCTTGCCCACCCCACTGTGGTTTTAGGGTATGAAATGAGGAGGCAGCCGGAAGCAGGACCAACTAGGATCAGCTGGAAGACAGGATGGGTCCCGGCCTGAGTCCACTGTGATCTCTCTCTTCCAGTCTCAGTGTTGGAGGACTTTTCCAGGAAGGTTCCTATAACACCAGTTTGACGTTGATGATGGGGAATCCCCTTTGAGTTTGTTGTGTGAGGGAACTGAGAAACGTTTGTCTAAGGATGTAGAATAGTATACGGTCATGTGGCACCTAAAGCCAGGAAGAATGTTCAGGGTGCAAGCTGAGGGCTGAGGATGAACCATAAGAGAGGAGACTCAATGACACAGAGGAGTCGGAGATGTGGGTGGACAGCAGCAAGCTGGTAAAACCAGCCTCAAAAGGGGGCCAGGAGAAGGATCTGGCAGTTCTGCCAAGCACAGCCAAGTTCCATCTGAAGATGGAAAAACTGCTTTTTATTGTCCTACAGTGATTTATGATGAATTTATCACATCTTTATTCCCAGCATTCAGAGGCAGAGGTAGGTGGATCTTTGTGAATTTGAAGTCAGCCTGATCTACCTAATGGTTTTCAGGACAGTCAAGGGTACACAATGAGACCCTGTCTTTAAAAAAGCTATATCTATGTATGTTTTGAAAGACCCGGATAAATTCAGACCCCTCTAGCAGAAAGAATAGAGCCAAAAATCTAGCAGGGAGAGAAGAACCAAAAATCTAGGTTAGCCGGTTCAGTGACTCTGTTCCAGGAAGTAGCTGATCATAAAGTTAGATTATAATCTTGAGAATAATCTTGAGAAATGGGAAGTTACTCCCTTGTGATTACCACTGGTATTTTCAGAATTTTCCAATGACACCTTCCCTACCCCCTTTGGGTTGTGTTTTTTTCCCCTAAATACTTCCTCTTCCAGCTACTTGGGGTCGAACTCCTCTACCACTGTGTGGGAAATGAGATTTAGCCCCAGCGGCTGTCCTGTCAATAAACCTTGTGTGATTGCAGCAAGGAGGGTCTTTCGTGAGTTTCTGGGGGCTTGTGTTATCCCCAGATGTGAGTAAGAGTCTCCCCTCCTCGGGGGTCTTTCAATATATATATAATTATAATATTATATATAATATTATACATCTATACATCTTAGGACAAATAAATACCTCTGGAGAGTTTACTGGAGATGCTCTATCATCTACTTATGTATCATCTATCAATCTACCTATCCTATTACCGGGGATTGAAATCCTACTTGCTATGGCAAGCACTGTACCTCTGACCTGTGTAATACCCCAGTCCTTTTTACTTTTTGTTTAGTAACAAGGTCTAAGTTATCAAGGGTTTGCCTTGAACTCACTCCGTAGACCAGACAGGTTTCCAACATGTGAACCTTCTGCTTCAGTCTTCTTTCTCTTGTTTTTTTTTTTTTTATTGTTTTATTTTATTTGAGCCAGGGTCTCTTTGTGTAGATCAGGCTGGCCTTTAACTCAGAGAGATGGGCCTGCCTCTGCATCTCGAGTGCTGGAATTAAAGGCGCGCACCGATAGACCTGGTCTTCAGTTCTCTTTTTCAGACATTGCTCATCCAAACTCCAAAAGCTGATGAGTTTATGATTCCCAGTCCTTTTAATTTTCTGGATGAGCTTACCAAAGCTAGAGATCTTACATCTTTGGTAGTTGTCACAATTTGAGAATTTTTTTGGTGGGAGGGGCTATTTTATATAGCTGTCACTTGTGAAACATTCAATTTTTCTACAAAGGTGCCTTCTTAGAACTTTATTTTTATCACTGGAATAAAGATACTAAACCTTGGGGCTGGAGAGATGGCTCAGCGGTTAAAAGTACTGGTTGTTCTTCCAAAGTCCTGCGTTCAGTTCCCTGCAATCACATAGTGGCTCACAACCATCTGTAATGGTGCCTCTTCTGGCGTGCACAGATACATACAGGCAGAACAATGTATATGTAGTAAATAAATACATCTTTTTTTTTTTTTTTAAAAAAAGATACTATTAACTTCATAGATAGTCATGACGAAGCAATGTAGGAAAAGAGCACACGGCACACACTAGGGGCACAACAAACACTCTGTACACCTTACTGGAGGGACTAATGGGATCTCTATTTTTTTCTTAAGGAAGAGACTTAAAAAAGTTACACTTCAACCTCTCCATTCATGTCAACTCCGTAAAGGTGCCGGTGCGCGAAGAAGTTATTTGCCATGGATATGATGACGATTATTCTTTTTGCAGAGCTCTGAAGGGAGGTAAGCATTTGGCTTTAGAGTAGACCATGATTCTTTGTGAGGCTGTTAGGACGAGGAAACATGGGAAACGTGAAGCTCCTTTACTGATAAAAATGCTCGGGTTCCCGTAGGTGGAGATTTCCTGTCCCGACCACCAGTTCACGAATAACTGACACAGTGTCTCAATATTAATTACAAATGCTCAGCCAGCTCAGGCTTATTGCAAATTAGCTCTTACATTTTAAATTAGCCCATATTCTTTATTTACGCTCTGCCACGTGGTGGTGCCTTTATTACCATGGCACATTCATCTCCTGCTCCCGCTGCATCTGGCTGGTGACTCCTCTGACTCTGCCCTCCTTCTAGTCCTTAGTTTCCTTGTTCCGCCTATACTTCCTGCCTGGTTTTTTTTTAACAACGAGAGCAACACATTTTCATAGTGTATAGGACTACTCCACAACAAGTTCCCTTTGAAATTTTACTCTTTGAAGCATAAATATTTTACAGTGGTGTCCACATGCCATTACTAAAATGATGCAGTGTGGAAGTGTTTGCAGGGATAATAAATTCTCACCTTTTAAGATGAAGGTCTCACATTCACTCTTGGCTACCGATGTCTTTTCCCAAACATTGCATGTAGAGCTTTCTATAGGCACTTGTCTGGTTTTGACTCTGCACTTGTATTGATTTCTTTAATGATCGTCTTTTATCTGAATCCTGGAATTGCTGTTATATTATTATTGTTGCTATTGACTTTTTGAGACAGAGTGTCATTTTCGCCCTGGATGGTATCGAACTCTGTATGTAGTCAAGGCTGATTTGAACTTCCTGGACTTCATGCCCCATCTCCCTTTTGTTGTTGTTGTTAATGATTTTCAGACAGGGTCTTTCTATGTGGCCCGGGCTGTCCTAGGACTCACATGTCCGCTCTGCTTCCAATGTGCTGGGATTAGAGGCGTAGGCCACCACTTCTGGATATACTTTGTTGCTGGGAGGGCCTACCTCAGCGATGGAAACCAGGATTGTTTTTTTTTTTTTTTGCTTGGTGTGTACAAGTAAAACCAATTTTATTTTTATTATTTTCAAGTCT